AGCTGCCAAGTTTTTCAGTTCTCTTGAATGTTTAAGGTATTTCTGTTTTCATTGGTATTATTTTACTGGTATTATTTTACTGGTATTATTCTGTTCTTAATACGTCTCTTCAGGGGTATTTGCAGCTTGGTCCTGAATAAATGATGCCAGCTTTCTGACATTTTCTCATGCAAAATAATCAACTGTAATCATGCTGTCACAAAAAAAGATCAAATTATAGGCCTTGAATGGACTGTGTGCCTACAGAACTGAAAAAGTGTTTCAGATGACCAACAAAATAAACAAACAATCATACAAAATATCTTGAGTCATGTGTCTAAACTTGTATGTCTATTTAGTTGTTGTAGGCTTTCCCAGTGGGCATCTTACTATGCTCCAGATAGTCACAGCTCTTCAAAAATTCTGTCTGCTGGTTCTACACCTTAGATACCTTGAACTACTCACCCCTGTTTACCCAAATAAATCAAACTGTAGTTTCTATGGATGATAACTGGAGATTAGACATCTTTTTATACATTTGAACACCTGCATCTATTCATTTAATTGAAGTGCCTCTAAGTGAAGTTTAATCACAGAATTTTCAGAGGATCAAGGTCTCATTATGGCAGTACTCATAGAGTGGAGTTAAATCCCAAATACCTAAAAGCTTTTTGTATACTAAATATTATTTAATATGGATTTTTATAACATATTTTTTTTTAATGTTTAAATGAGTAATGAGGAAAGAATGAGACTTGCTGTGCATCTTCAGATCCTTATGCTATATTTTTTCAGAACTATGGGAATTTTTTCCTAAGGTTATGTTTGCACACAGTATGGGGTACATGCAGAGAGCCTGCACCTGTCATCTAAATTGCTTTCAAAGCCCAAGTGAACACTAGGCTATGTGGAAGTAGTAGTTCAATGCAGTGAGAGCTTTGAGTAATGCATTGACACTATAAATCACCTTGAATCTGCAGCCAGCATAGCTCCCTTTTCATGATGTAAGTAGCAGAACAGAGATGGGGAAAACAGATGTTTTCTGAGATGCTACTGGTGCTCATGTCAACAACAACAGAAACCACAGGGCTTAAAAAAATATACAGTGAAAGATTTTAAATTAATTTTTATGTGCAAAAGCTAGATATGGAAATGAAAAAAAGAAGCCTCTCTGGATGAAAAACAACAGAGTTTAGAGTCCACACTATGGTCCATGTGCTGTGTAATTCAATAAGGTGGATTAGAAATTATTTAAATATTGTTAAAATAACTAAGAGGATTTCCATGCACATTTGAATCACAAGGTCAAAATTATCTGCTAGTATTACCAGATGATATTGACATGCTTAAATGAATTCAGATAGCCACTAATAATGAATTAGTAAAAAAAGTGCAAGAAGAGGTAAAGAAAATCAGGTTTCATACACATAATCACAGAAAATCAATGTTTGTTCAACTTTATGCACTCTCAGTCTTACTACTCACCAAATCAGACTCAACCTGGGGAAATCAGTTTAATTTATTACAATTTAAATCAGAGAAGGGCAATGAGCAATAAAAAACTAAAGGTTAAAATGCTTTTTCCCTCACCCCTCCTTTCTTAAATTCACTCCTGAAATCTCTATCACCTTCTTCCTCGCAGCACTACAGAGGGAGAGGGAAGAGGGGCAGTAAATCACATTTTGTCTCTGCTGATCCTTCCTCCTTAGAGAGAGGACTTGTCACCCTCTTCCCCTGCTTCAGCTTGGGATCCCCCTGGCATGAGACAATCCTTTACAAAACTCTCCAACATGAGTCCTTTCCATGGGCTGTAGTTCTCCACAAACTGTCCCAGTGTGCGTCTCTCCCATGGAGTCCAGTCCCTGAGGAACAGGCTGCTGCTGTGCGGTGGGTTCAGGTCAGCCAGGGTCCACAGGTCCTTCCTTTCAGGACTACATAAGGACCTAGCCTCCTTTGGGCACTCACATGCTCCAGTGTAGGGTCTACTGGTGGATGGTGTACAGGTGATTTCTGCTCCACCATGGATCTCCATGGCCTTCACCATGTGCTGCTGGGGAATCTCTGCTCCAGAGCCTGGAGCAACTCCTCCTTCTCCTTCCCCTTTTCCTTCTCTGACCTGGGTGTCTGCAGGATTGTTCCTCTCACACGTTCTCACTTCTGTGTCAGAGGCCTCAGTTAGTGTCCCAGAGGTTTTTTTCCCTTGTTAACTCTGTTATCTGAGTGGCACTACCATCTTTGCTGATGGGCTTTGCCTTGGCCAGTGGCAGATTTGTCTTTGACCCACCTGGGACTGGCTCTCAGGCATCTTCTGGCCTCTCCTTACAGATGACACCCTCTACCACTCACTACCAAGATCTTGCTGTGCAAATCCAATAGAGGTTCATTAAGGTCATCAGATAAAGAAATTTTTCAAGGAATAATAATAATAAAGAAAACAATAAAGACACACAATCACATGGTAATCAAACAAGTAAGAGAGATGATAAATTATAGCAAAACTTCTCAAGCATTAATTGATGAGTCATTAAAAAAATGTAGGTAAAACTTTGTAGAAGGAGAATACAGGCTTTGAAACTCATGAGAAGGGGGAAACAAAATAAACAGGATGGATATTTCAGGGGGATCAGTGGGACAGTACACAGCCATTAGGGAATTCATGGGGAGAGAATCTTGTGTGAGACAAAGGAAAGCATCAGGAAAGGAAAAAGGCAGGGAGGAATAGAAGGAAGGAAAAAAAGGGTTTGTACTATAACTACTCATTTGCCTGAGCCCTCTGCCTGACCAATGCAGTCCAATCTATATTTATTCTTAAGGCTTTTTTTTTTTTTGGTCAGTTTCTGCATAATTTCACTCTCAATCACATGCATGAGTGATGCAAGATCTAGGTTCTAGGACATGGAAAAACAACCATGGGTGACAGGGCTCCAGTTCTGTATGCCAATGATTCTGGAGACCAGCACATAAGTCCCTGCATGGGGGAGTTGTAAGAGTTGGTAGCTGTGGAGTGGTCCCAGTGCATTTATATTTCTCCCTAATGAATTTAAATTGATGTCCATAGGTATGTATATGTAATTCAATGGGAAATTTCAAGCTGGAATAACCAACAAAAAGGATAAAATATGCATTTGTAAAGGTTAAAAAACTTTACAAGGGAGTACAGGTGCCTCACATCGGGGCTGGAGTATCAGGTGAGCCAGAGCACACACTGGTCTTTGGGGAACCCATGAGTTTGGGGTGCCCAAGGGCTGAGTGTGTGCGTGCTGAGTGGGTGCAGACCACCCAGCAGGACCAGCCAGTGAGTTGGGGACCCATGGGCTAGGCAAAGGCAGCTGGAATCTGGACCGGGGTTCTGGGTGGTCATCTGTTACAGAAGGGCTTTTTCAGTGAGCTCTGAACTTTCCAACCCAAATATCTGCACAATTAAGACAGTTCAGAGGGCATAAGGGGGAAAAAAATTGTCTGGTGAAAGGATCCTGTAGATATACTGCAATTAATGTCAACAATGACAGTGCCTTGTTTTTGTTTTCACTTTCACCACATACTGACTAGAGTGATTGTTTCAGTGATTTCTGTTTTGCAATAAATCGGAAATTATTTTTCTTGTCAGCATGCTGGCAGAAACAGCATGATGATACAGAAACAGAGACAAAAGAAATTGACAGCAGACACTTCAGGTACCTTTGTCAGATATGAAATATGCAGTATCCAGTAAATAAATCTGGTCCTAGTAACAAAAACCCACTGAGAGTAAACCTCAAAATTTACACTTCTTGAATAGGTGAACAAAGTCTTCAGAAGAACCTGCACCAAGCATTGTGCAGACTCTTTCCTTGGGCTGGACAAGACAGCAAATATACATAATGAATATAAGATGCAGGATTATTTATTCCATTACATGGAGCCTTCAGGTCAATTTGCAAACAAACCCAGGCACTAGAGGTGCTGTGGAAATACTTCTGATATTTTCAACAATGCAAGCCTTGAGGTGAGGTACATGTATCTCATTTGCTCTTTCTGGACTTTGTCTTTCAGGAACAGATAGAGATGTGAATACATGTGACTCTGATTAGTAGGGCAGTGCCAATCGTAGCCTATCAATGTCTCAATGTAACCTGTTTTGTTTGGAAAGCTCTATCTATCTGATATACTCGTGTTGAAACAAGGATATTTTGTGATTGCTGAGCAAATTTAAATCTCAAAAATGTGGACAGATTCCTTGAGATTTTTTTTTAATCAATACTCAATGGGTACAGAGAAAGGATCATTTAGAAGAAAAGGATATATTAACATAAGTCAGATTTCTGTTATTTCTTTTGAGAAGGGGTGGCAGCTAGCAAGAGATGTAGACAAGTAACAGAGTTTCAGTGTATTTGTTCGAGGCACTGAGTTCCTATGTGCTTACAATGCCAGTAATTGACAATCTGGACCTTATTGACTAAAAAAGTTCTTAGTACTCTTTTATTCAATATATTTATGCCTAGTGGTACAGCACTTATCTGGGATCTAACTGTGATCTGTAATTATTTATAATATTCCCTTTAAGGTAGCAATCTAAATTAAAATTACTAGCCAGAAGGTTTTTTAAAAGAGCAACACTAACCTCCTTAGAAAATCACATGCATATTGATAAAACTAGTTCATCATACATTTTCTAGCACCTTAAGGCATACCAGACTATTTTTTCTATTTGTTCCATTTTCATATAGCATCTCATTGGCATTTTCTCTATTCTTTCAGGAAATTTTCAGGAATATAACTCTTTCTACAGTTCCAAATTGTAGGCCTCTATATAAATTTTATTTCCTTGTTTATTGATTTCTTACTTTATGTAAAAGCAATAAAATATGAATTTTGTGAAGCCACAGAACACTGGTAAATTTTTATATTATGTTGCACACAATATTGACTCATTTATTCCCTTATTAACATGAAGTTTTTTCTTTTTATCACTTCTAGGAAGGAGCATGATGAAAATCTGCTTCAGATCTCTACTCTGGTTTGTCACTCAGCAGGGAAATAAATAAATGTCTCCAATAACTTTATTCAAAGCATTTTCTTTGGTAAACACAATCAAGTACACATAGACACATGCAAGCAATGAAATAGCAGAACATCTGGTGAACTGCATGTGGGCCAGGAATATGAAGCTGAACCAGGTGCACAGAAGCAGGTTTTCTGATTCTGAAATTGTATTAGATGCTGGAAGGTTTCTATATATGAGAGGCAATGACCTGCATGATTTCCACATAGGTTAGAATCGGCGGCGTGTCACGTTCAAGAATATATTTCACAAGAGAGTGGAGCTGTAAAGAAAACAATTATTTTTTTTAAATTTTAATAATACACATTTTTGCTACAGCATCTATGGATGTCCTAATCTCCCCATTCATTCCCGCTGGCTTCTTCCTATAATAACAATGCTTTTATACGTGTAACTCTGGTGTTGAAAATTTAGTTTCCTAAGTAAAAACTACTGTTACTTAAGATGTCCTCTTCTCTTTCTAGAATTTTTTTGGGGTTTTTTTTTTTTTTTTTTTTTTTTTTTTTTTTTTTTTTTTACTGCTAGCAAGTTGCAAGTATTGATTTGGTGGGGAAAAAGCAACTCTCACTAAAGGGATGTTTGAAAATTCCATTAGTATTTTAAGATCCCAAAGCTGAAGCTAAAGCTTCCTAATCTATTTGTTGAATTCAGCCATGAAAATACATCTGAGGAAATACGCATGAAAATACATTTAGGATTGCAAAACATAAATACTTGTAAAAAAATTCAGGAGTAAGATGCTTAATTTTATGTTGTATATTTTAAACTTATTTAGTTCTTATTTAGAGCTATGAGGAGCAAGCTCCTTTCCATGACTGCTTACTTGTACTCTTACTCCTTACTCTATAAGTTAGAGAAGGAGGTCTAAAACTTTTATGTCTTGAACTCAATATTTTTCATGTGTCTTCTATAACATAGAAAAGTATATCCATCCAGATAGAGTTTGATCACCTTCTGTACAAATAAGTGTACAGAAAATTTATGTGCTTTAAAGCTTTGCTCATCATGCTCTGTATATTACTCCAAGCAGTTTAGTCAGCAGAAAGCACATGGAGATATTTCTGTGCTATATCTCAGAGTTTAAGTTGAATTTCAAAAAAAAAAAACCAAAACAAAAAACTAAACCAAACCATATTAAGCTTAAGCTAGTCACTGTTAATTACTTCAGTTACTGTTAATTACTTATTTATCAGTTAAATGTGCTAGATCAACCAGTGTAATTAAAGAAACCTCACTATCTTTTTGCTTGCACACTTTGCTGGTATAGATTTTTACCCAATTATGCATTTTTTGCTTATTTTGTCAAAGACTAAATACTAAGACCATCTACATACAAATAGTTATTCCGCTGATTTCCATTATTTCCACTTCAAATTTATTTAGTTCTACTATCTTGAATATAATATTTGCACCTCTTCTATAACCCTCGAGCTGATTTATTTTCCCCCAAAATTATTTGAGGAGCCCCAAACAACCAAAGAAAGCCTGGAAATATTTTTCAATATTCATTCCTAAGTCATAATATCTTGCCTGTCAGCAGTCAAATATTATGGAGTCATTTTCTGATAGCTTAAGTTGAGTCAAATCTGCTGAGTTTACCAACCAACTCATCTTTAAGTTGTTGCACATATAGTACCTTTTAAATAAGCTGCACAGCTGGATTGGGAACATCAGAGTGGCTATCTTCACCCTGCCACTGTTTTTAGGCCACAAACTGAACATAATTTGACCTACTTTCAAATAACTTCACATGCATCTAATAAGCACACGAGGCTTTCAGACCAGCTTTATTACATAGCACACTTGAAAAATGGTGAACACCAAAACAGCTATCAACAAAATCACTGAACAGTGTTCTTATCAACAAGTTCAGCCAAAAAATCTATTCCAACCTTAGTGTCCCACTAAGAACAGTGGAAACAAACCAATAATTTTTATTTATTTCAATCATGAGCCAAAATGTATGTTATTTTAAGTTGTAACTAGCATTTAAATTAAACTACTTCTTTTTTTTTAAATACACTTATGGGTTCAAATTTGAACCACTGTTATAGTTGTTAAACATGCTATTGGTTTTCATTGGAGGAGGGAAACCTAATAAGGAAGGGAAAAGGAATAGTTCACCCTTTCTCATAGTGGCATTTTTCTTTTGCCCACTATGTTACTGTTACTTCAATTCATACGTCAGAACCACTGTGAAGATTTTAATATCAAGACATCCCATGGTATTTCCTCACCATCTTTTGAGATACACAGTGGCTTGCATTATCTTGGCCCCAACGTACCTCTGCAGTTTCCTAACAAACCAACTCATATGCTGGCCTGTGTAACTGCTGGCTCCTGGACTGCAGTGTGAGGGTGCAAGTTAACCCAAACATCTGCGCAAAGACATCAGGGGCGAGTTATCCTTGCAGAGAGGTGGCACTGCATGTCCGCATCCAATCACTTTGGTGGCAGTTCCAGGCTGCAGAATAATATAGAAGACAGAAACAAAAACTTGAGTACTTCTTTATTTACTGGTTTCTAGATACCTGTGGGAAAAACACTCTCCCTGATCTTTGTTCTCCTTTCACAGACTGTATTTATATTCTACACTCTTCCACCACCTGGAGTAATGTGTATATTCACTAAGTAGGGATGCTAAGAAAACCCTCTTTCAGTCCATACTACCACAGAGAATGCTTTTTAGGGGTTCTAATTCTTACCTAATTTAGATCAAAATCATTCAAAGTAAACAGGGATTTAAATGGAACTACTTACTACTTCTTACTTAAGCTTGTGCAACTGACAGGGATCCCAGTAACCTCAAGATAATAAATCATTCTTACCTTAAATGAACAAAATGAACACCTTTTATTTCTTTTTCTTCAGTGACCCGGGAAATAGTTTTCTTCCATTAGTAACTGTTGTAGCTGCTGCTGATCCTACTAGAGATTCCTGATTGCAATACTTTGCCATGAAAGTCACTGATACCTCTACATTTCTCTCAGGGAGACAATAAATGTGAGAAACCTAGTCTTTGCTAAAGTTGCAAAAAGTTCTGACCATCTTGAACATGTGACAGGAATAAATTTCATTGTTCTTTCTAAAAAAAAAACTGATCAGTGAGTTAAAGAAAAAAAAAATTGTCAGAGCTGTTAGCTTTTAACTTAGCTTTATTCATGAGTCTGCCTCTAGTCAATCACACAGGTTTTATGTCTGGTTGAAATTCTGCTCTACTAATTTTTGGCTGAAAATACTTCACCCTTCCTTCCTTCCTTCCTTCCTTCCTTCCTTCCTTCCTTCCTTCCTTCCTTCCTTCCTTCCTTCCTTCCTTCCTTCCGCCACTTCCGCCACTTCCGCCACTTCCGCCACTTCCGCCACTTCCTTCCGCCACTTCCTTCTGCCACTTCCTTCCGCCACTTCCTTCCTTCCTTCCTTCCGCCACTTCCTTCCTTCCTTCCGCCACTTCCTTCCGCCACTTCCTTCCTTCCGCCACTTCCTTCCAATACTGTCCTTGGCAACAAGGTATTTTGAATTGCAAGGGGTTTCATATCAAGAGTAATTATAAAGAAATTGTAGACAATTAAAGGGAAATTTGTATGAAAGCCAATGTACAGTAGCACTCCAGGAGACAAAATATTTTCAAAGAGCTATGATCATAATGAACTATCTTGTAGTACCATAATAAAGTAAATAAACATCTTTCATACACTTAGAAAACTTTTATACCTAATCCTTCCTCATCATCACCCAATATAGATCATGTTATGCTACAAAATGTGAGAAATTGCCATTCTATATCAGACTACAGTTCCAGCCTGATTTTCTAGCACTGATGATGATCACTGGTGGATATTCATGGTCAGAGCATATAAAACACGGACATGGTACCTGAATACACAAGTCAGAATACCAGAATATTGGCTTCAAAGTGTATATTTTTTAGTGCATTCCATAAATAATGAAGGACAGCATCCATACAGGAAACTGCTCATCTTTGAGATTAAACCTCGAGGAAGAGAGACTGTTCTGGGTAGCTCATTGGAATGTGTTTCTGCAAAGTGCTTTTTTGAGAAAGAATATAGAACCTTCGTAAAGAGTAAATTGACATGGTTTCATCAAACATCATGGCCATGATAGGGAGCACACATGCTAGGAGAGAATAAAAGAAACAAAGGTCATAACATGGAATTTATGTTGAACAGCAGACATAAAAGAGAAATAGCTTCCAGATAATTACATTATTTTTTCTTTTAAAGCACCAAGTTACCAAACAAGTACCTGAAAAATATAGTCCTCCAGAACCCAGGTACTGTTCTTTAAAAATTGCTCTCAATTTTAATGTTAAAATTCCAGATAAAGTTGTTTTAAAATGAAGTTTAAAAATTAGGACTTTTTTTTTCTATTAGACTTTAGATAAAAAGATGAAGATGTTCATAAGTTATGCACCAAGTAAATTAAATATATATATTTAGATACAAATCATATTACTTATTAATGAAGTTGATAAAATATATATGCATATATAATCATTATAAATATAAATCAGAGAAGACTCACAAGCTTTCCATGAATTCTGTGCTAACAGTAATCACTTTATTCCTCTGCAGTTATAAAGAAACTGTGATGTCTTTTATTTCTCCCAGCTATCAGCGCATAGTAACACCTTACAATGCTTAATGATTTAAATTTCAAAACACTAGTATGGGAAGAAAATGTTATGTTTTTGTTACAGAGGGATCAAGAACAAATAAGGCATAGCATCTTTATAAAAAGGGGCAAGGCTTTGTTCCAGCTACCTGGAAATCCATGAAGCAGCCCTCCATCCTTTACAACAATTAAGCACTGGACCACACTTTGTCTCCTTCTTGTTGCTTAATGACTGCATCTTTCTTAGAGCCCGTCTCTCTGTGAGGGGAGGATGGACCCCAGAATATATGGCCATTGCCAGCCTGCTCAGGAGATAACAAGAGCCAGATGTCAGGCCGAGCACCGCCGGGGACGGATCCGTGCTTATCCGCACAAAAGGCAGCACTTCTGCTGTGCCTGCCTAAATTACAGCACGTTCTGGCCCACAGTATTAATTTCTCCCTTCCAAAAGAATGAAGAGGGCAGTAAATCTTTCAATGAAACTGGAAACGGCACAGCTCTGTTCTGCACGGACATGCAAAGTAGAAGTTCAAAGGTTATCCCTGAATCACAAGCTGATATAAAATCAGCCTGCCACCATGTTAACATCATGTGGTAACACTTTAAACACTTTATTTAAGCATTTCATTTAGGAAACAATTACTGTAAGTTTTTTGTCTAACATAATTAATAGGTCAAGCAGCACTTATTAAGTCTTTAGGCATTAATTAACATTTAAAAATTATCACATATGACACATTAACTAGATATCAATCACTTATTAGAACTACTGACATTTAATAAGAATTTTAAATTATAGCAAATTCTCCTTCTACAAATATCTTTCCAAAATACAAGTACCTGCAAATAGTACTTAAGTAGTTTAATATGTTAAGACTTATTTTGTCCTTGTAATTATCACATAGAAAAATCAGTCTCTGTATGCTTTAGTGATAAAACATATCTGTATCTTTTCAGTTCACTAATGAATGACACAAAAGGAATAAAAAGCATAACATGCGTATTAAAATTGTTTCTAAAGCACAATTGAAATTAACTGTACCTCTGTTCTTTTCCTGTGTCATATTTGAACTTAATTTCTCCTCTGATCCTACTGTCCTGTCCTGAGGAAAGAAATACAAATGACCAAGTGTTAATTGCTGACCTCTGTCACCCCTTAATTATGCATTCATGTATCTTGTTTGATATTCCCTTGAATAGCTGTCTCCTTTTGCTAAGATTTTGCCATCAGACACTTCACAGATACAATCTCTCTCTTGACCTAATTGAACTTATTATTAATTAAATTTTCTAATACTAACTAGGTATTTGGGATGACACACAAAAACTCTACAGGGTGCCCAAATTTTACAAGACTAATGTTAATATTGGCAGCTTGACAAGAATCAGAGAGCTGTTTCTTCAGCACATACTTTTGCATGCATTTTCCTGCTAATATATGCACTTACACATAAGATATGCAGCAACTTTGCTGAACAAATAAAAATCACTGTGGGCTTTTTTTTTCACAGAGGTTTCTTGTCTAACATACACCTAGGTGATGATTTATGGAGGGATTTTAGAATTTGTAAATACAGAGCATTTCCCATATTTCACTCGACATGTGCTTAAAACATACTCTCCTTTCTGGAAAAGAAAAGCAGTATGGCAATAACCTGCAGCAGGGGGACATGGGGGGCTGTAAACATGCACATCTATGAGCTGGCAGCATCCTCATTTATCTGGCTGCCTCTGTTTTGCTTGGTGATCAGCAGCATCTGGTAGTGCTCCACCCTGCTATCCACGAGAAGCTGCAGCCAGAGCCACGGAAGAAGAGTGCAAGTCAATTCTGTGAGCTACACCTGCATTGTTTGAGAATTGGCAGATCTGTACCACACCTCTGATGGCTTAATTGGGCTAGCACACATAATAACAAGGAGTAAAAGCAAATTCTCCAGATGTTCTGGGAATATACATGTCAGTAACCGTACTGTCATCTTTCATTACATCTGTTAGCTGGATTAAGATACCAAATGCAGGATAACATACTATATTCTCACTTTTTCCTTTGAAGTTTTAACCCAGTCCAAAGGTAATTAAATGGTTTCATGCAAGTAATAGGTAGTATTTGTGATGAGAGTAAGAATCAGACTAATAAGGAATGAAAACACTATGATTTCCTTTTTTTACAGGTGAAAAAGGATAAGACAGTTGATCTGAAGGCTACATTGCAAGGAGACCTTGTAACACCAACTCTCACAACACGTTCTTGGGGATCTAAAGTAAACTAGTTTCCTGGGACCTCTCAGTAGTTTACAGAGAATGAAATGAATCACCAATGACTAGTTCAAAGCAGAAACAAAACTCATTTCTTAAGTACAATCCATAGCCTTTAGTAAAATACCTAGATTCTCTATACAATGCACAGGGAGGATTAGATGGGATTCAGAACAGACAGCATGCTGTGCAAGATTTATATAATAGAGAAGGTCAAGACTTAAATCCTGCACTTACGTCAGACCCGGTTTACAACTCAGAAACCTCTCCTGCACTAATGCAACATGTCCCTCCTTTCAAAATAACAGGCACCTGTTCCTTGTAAAACATAGAGGTCAGGGGATTGTTTTTCTACTGTTTAAGTGCGATTTAGATGGAAGGAATTCAAAGCCAAATAACTGGCTGTGAGATGCTGAAGAATCTTTACATTTTTGTCCCTGTATTACTTTGCAGAAACAAGCGTGGAATGCGCTGGGCTAGAGAGTAAAAGTGGAATCCCAGTGACTGCTGAAAGATAGGCCACCTACCTCTTGACCCCATCCCCAAGGACTGTTGCAGTGCTATATAAATCAAAAGTGAATGAAAGCCACAAAAAGGCCTAGCAGCCAAGATCAAAACTAATCTTTTAAAATTTTAGCCCCCTCTGAAATGTCTCTTAGGGTGCTTGCTCTTTCCACTGCCATGCATCTGCTTGGCAGAACTCATTGCCTCTTGACATCAGGAGATCCCTATTTTCTCCTTTTTTCAGCCTATGCTTAAGACTGATTTGTTTTCATTGACTTTTAACTGACATTAGCTAATTATTAACTCTGCAGGATAGATTAAATTTTAATTTTAATGTCATTGTAAAACGCCATGAGCTGCCTCAGCATGATAAGATGCTATAAAAGTTTAAACTGTTGTTTTAAGTTAGCCACCTGTTCAAAACATTAAAAATCTACACATTTAAATCAATCACACTGCACTGGATGCCCCATCAAGGCTAATGTTGATAAATTACACTCTTAGCTCTAGTAGATATAGAGTCATTATTCTCCAGAACAGTAATATATTGGACTTTATTCTGTAGAGTTTTAGTTGGGATTGCAGTTTCATTTTACAAAATCCTTAATACACTCCAATGAGTATTTTCGAATCTGCTATTTTGCCCAGCAATTATTCTGGCTTAACAGTGCCTTTGAGTTTCTGTCTGGCATGTGAGACATGTGCTGGAGATGTACAGTTCCAGAAAGGAGTTCATGGAACTACTCTGGGCCAAATCAGAGCTGGATAAGGTGACAAAAACCCCCATACCCTTCTGTCTCTGGACAAAACAGACAAATCTGCAGGCTGAAGTAAATTACATTTTTGTCTTAGGTGTAGTAAACAGAGAGAAAAAAAACTTACTTTTTCTGGATTTTCTACCTATAAAACAGAGCTAATATTTTCCCATGCCTGTCTTCTCTCTTCACATGGTAAATTTACTTGTGTAAGTACTATTTCTTATCAAAAGCAAAAGGGCTCTTTCTACAGCTCCAATAAAGGAAGGCAACACATTGAGACTGCATTTAGTAGACCTTGTTCTGCAGCTATGGATCTGACTTTACTACCTCTTGTTCTTCTTTTGCTCAGAAAAGGTTTATAAGTAAGCCAAAAGACACAGACTTCATAATTTTATTATAGCTGGAAAAATCTTCAGCAATCCTGCAGCTGAATGACCTATTCATCTCATCCATTATTGTCATTTAGAAGAATATAAATTCTTTTTAAGACCACACGAAAAAAGCTGTATTGTCTGAGATAGAAGACAGGAGACACTTCAGTTTCCTTTTGTGATATGCCCCTGCTGATTCCTAGTCTAGAAATTCACTGAAACACTCCCCAAAGAGAACAATTTTTAACTTTATTGTTGAGGAGGGCAAAAAGGTTAAAGAGGATTTAGCTGAATGCACAAGCTTAGCACAGGTTTACCACCCATAATCATCTAGGACTGCGCTCCTGCACACAGTGTCTGTGCATGAGAGCCTGTGCTCTGACAGTGATTAGCAGTATCAGTGTAGCAGCTGGGTGACAGAGGAGCAGGGTGCTGTGAGCAGGTCCGGAGATGGAGGGACACCAAGTGCCTTGCAGCCCTGCAGGTGAAAGCCAGCTCGCTCTGGAGCGTGCTCCTGGTGCCCACATGGCACATGCCCCGCCCATCTGGAGGATGCGTGTGCTGCTGCTGCAAGCACAACGTGTAATTATTACTTGCATGAATTTTCAGTTCAAAGTGTTTAAAAAACAACGTCTATAACATATCTGTCTGCCTCGGAGTGCTGCTGTAACATTTTAATGTCTGTGACTACATGCTGCATGTCATGAGATGTTCTATGAGGTTTTCAAGTGTTGTGTTGCAATGACCCAAAACATGGCAAAGAAGAGGTCAAGTAGAAAAGAAAATCGAATTCTAGTGCCCATGCACTAGACTCCAAGACTCCCATTCATCCAAATAAGCCTCTCCTAATTCTTACAAAAAATCAGTTAAATTAAGCTATTAGATTATTTAAACAAAGTCTAGATTGCAGGCAGGTTGTGAGGTGGAGAATGGAAATTCTTAATATCTGAACACATTTTCTTCCTAGTAGAGACAAGTCCTCTGAAACTTTGAAAAACTTAAGGGTATCATTCTTTACATGTGTAATTTTTGCTTGTCCCTTTCTGTTTGAAATTTCTTCAGTAACAGTAATGGAAAGCTATATACTGCTTGACCTTTTTTTTCCACAGATGCATGTGGAGTATTTCTGTCCTAACATTTCTCTACAAAAGAAATTTTGTGTAAGCTACAAGAGCTACTACAACAAAAGGGATCATGGAGACCTGACATACTGTGTCATCTGTCATTTCTGACAAATGTAAATGCAAGAATAAAATCCTTGGTAGAGAATAGGAACATATGAGTCAGGGTTGAGTGAAAGGGCATCAAAGGCTCTAGTTCCTGATGCTTTTTCTTTACTTCTGTTGTTTTTGTCTGATTTATCAGCATAATGTAGTTTCTGTCAGAGGAAATATATTCAACAGCTGAAGAGTGGTGGGGCAGATGTGCTCCAATATCCCCAGGTCTCACCAGTGAGGCTGCAGATGTGTTCTCAGCAAGCACACACATCCACCTTGTATATCCATATATACACAAACAGGCACACAGATTAGACACACACAAACAGATGAGCCAAAAAAACCAGACACTCTCAATGGCCTCATCCTTCCTCCTCTCTGGCAGAGAGACATGGAAGTCCACTTATGACAGTATATACATAAATAGATACAGTGCGGATCTTTCCAGCAGCTGGGCTCAGACACTGTTGAGTAAATGTCCATGGACCACATAAAGTCTCACAAGCTCTTGGCTTCTGGACATTCAAGACCCTGAGGCTGCAGTCCCACTCTTTTTGCTGATATAGGCCATTGCAGAAACACAAAATTGATGAGGACTTCCCCAGTCCCCATAGTGAGTATCCCTGTGCTCTAATTCAAAAACATAAAGGCTGACCCTCAGAGACAAATCCATCCACTTCTTCCCAACTAGTTTGTATCCATCATTTCTAGAGATCTCACATTTCCTTGCACACCTGTACTTGTTCATCTCGCTGCATCAAAGACACATTTGTGTCTCCTAGTCTGACTCTGAGCACACAATACCCCTCTGTTTCCCTTCTCTGTTCCCACATACACAGACTAAGAATTCTCACACACAAAAAAATTAGAAAGGAATTTAATAAGAAGATTGGATGTGTCATGCTGGTTATGTGCAGGATATAGCCAGGCAAACAACATCCCTTTTTATTCCTTTTGTTCTCTATTCACGTTTCTTCCTCCCAAAGTCACTTGAATC